GAGCTAATTTAACGTGACATGCTAAAACGTATTTTAGTTAATATAAAATTATGTATTTTTATGTGATAATGATATAAAACAAAAATTGAAAAAACAAATGGCATATCATAAATTAAATAAATAACTATAAATGTAAATATTAAAAATATTTTTTCATAGTACATAATATATATAATGATATAATTAAGTCAAAAAATATTCAATATTGGGCTTATTTCGAAGGTATTGACGTGACGATTATAATGGTGTAACTTGTTAAAATTAAAACGTATTTTTTTAACATATTTTAATTGATATAAGATTATGTATGTTAATTTGATCAGGGTATAAAATGAAAATTTTAAAAGGAAAGGGTATAAAGTAAATTAATTAACTAATTATAAGGGTATAAAGTGTAAATTTAAATTTTTTATATTAAAATCGTGTGAGTGAGTGAGTGTGCAAATCACGTGAGTATGAAAAAAAATGTGAGGTGGGGGACAAGGTGCAGGGGGTAGAAAGGTATGCCAGGGGGGTATCAATATCAACCCCCATTTTCTAATAAAAAAGACTGCCCCTGTGAGCTTTTTCTCACTAACAGCCACCGTTTCTGGATCCTTTGTCGCCGCTGTTTGATTACTCCCTTCCTTTGCTCCGCGACCTGATAGGGAACTATCGAAGACGAAGCGAGGGTATTGTTATTCTGAATATATGGGGTTTTAAACAGTGGCGGATCTAGAAACTATTATGGTTGGGGGCACACTTAGGAGGGTCGAAAAATTTTTGAAACCGAACAATTCGTCCGAATCAAAAAAGGTTTCGGGTTTTTATTTTCAGGTTTAAACTGTTCGGTTAACCGAATAAAGATAACTGATGCGGTTGAAATAAGCTAGGTATTGACTCTACAATTTATATTTGTTGAGTGAATATGACTTGTATATTTACCTTTTCATATGTGGTATTGAGCATCCTACATTGATGTGGTGGAGTGGGGCTTCTAAGGCTTATGTTTTAATCTTTTAGTACTCTTCTTAAGATGAGCACCCATGGAGATCTACCAACTAGGAATTATTCCTTTTGTCTGATCATATAATTCACAAATAACACTTGGATCTTTAATTGTCTTGCATACTACTTTTCAACACAAAATTGCAAAATTAAGCTAACATTTTCATTTGTCTAACATTTCTATTTTCCTACAAAATTAACCTAACATTTCCTTTGGCAAAATTAACCTAACATTTCCGTTTTCCTACAAAATTGCAAAATTAACCTAACATTTCTATATGTCTATAAAATTACAAAATTAACCTAACATAAAGCATTTACCAAAATACCAAATCATCAATTGTGAAGCAATCAACAAAATCAAAGTCATTCAAAATTAAATTATCCTATCGGCTGGATCCCAAGAAAGATCGTTCAAATCAATTTCGTAGGGCATCAAAGGAGCAGAGCTCGATTCAAGTGTTGATGATTTCCTTTAAAAAAAAATTCCATTTTTTTCTAGCAATAACAATAACAAGATAAAAATAAATGGTTTAGTAACATTTCCATTTGCAAAATTAACCTAACATTTGACCTTTCCATTTGATTTGCCTTCAAAATTGCCTATAAAACTAACCTAACATTTGATTTGCCAACAAAATTGCGTATAAAATTAACCTAACATAAAGCATTTACCAAATCACCAATAAGCAAACAACAAAATAAAAGAAGTAATCAAAATTAAAGACTAGAATTTGGAAATTAGAATTTTTACACAAATTATTTGCTTCAATCCAGTGACTCCAACTCCAAGTCTCCAATTCCAGCCGCGCGCACTGTCGTGCACTCGTGTCCACAGTCGAACGGAAGAACCGAAGTTCGAAGAAGCAGTCAAGCAAGGCTGGGCAACAGTAGGCAACAGTTACTTACAGCGATTGATGAAGAAGAAGGAAGTTAGGCAACAGTCCACTGTCTGTCGTGCACTCGTGTAAAGGTTGAAGCGATGAAGGTTAGGCAAGGTTTGAAGGCAGAAGGCGTGAAGTGAAGAGAGGGAGGGGGCCTTGTACATTATCATGTTGGGGGTCCAATACTATAAAATTAAAATTTACAAGTAAAAAAAAATTTTGCAAAACATATTTTGTTGGGGGCCCAAGACCCCAACAAAGCCTTGATGCATCCACCCCTGGTTTTAAATACATCAAGTATCGACTTATTCCATTGTGCGGTAATAAGCATTTTTTAGTGTTTTGATAAACAACTTATACCGGTGTCAAACTGGTAATAAAGAGTTTTTGAAAAAGTTAAATCATTCTAACTTACGATAAGTTGATAAGTCTTTTGTAGAAAAGCATAGGTTGTTTCAATTAAGCAATCCCAAAAACCCCCTAAGTTGTTGCTTTTCAATCTTATTTCATTTAAATAAAATTCAGAAGAAATAAGGGGTTTGGTGGGTTTTTCAATAAGGGGTTGTTTGACAGTTGTTGAATGATTTGGTGTAGAATGAATAAGAGACTCTCATGATATAGTGCAAAATAAAATATAATTGTATGATATTTGTTTACAATGAATTAGAGCGCTGAATGGTTAAGGGAGATCCAAGATACAAACTCATTTAAAGGGTTTTAAAACCATTAAGAGTCGTACATGTTTTGTCAAAAAAGATTCACCTCTTAACGATTCATATGTTGACTTTTAATGAAACTATTAAGAGGTAAACAAAAAACTCTTTAAGTTTAGTACATATAAAGTTGATTGTGTATATTAATTTGTAATTGTAGATCACAGCTTTTTATTTGAGAGAAATTTTTCATGGATTGGATTTTTAATCGGGGGGAGCAGGTTTTGAAAAAAAAAACTTGGTTTTCTGTATAAAACTTCCCCCTATAAGCTTATTGAATAAGCCATTTTTTTGGAACAAAAAGTTAATTACCATAAACCCTAACCGGATAAGCCACTTTTTATGTTATTAAGTCCCTACCAAACAATCACGTAATTTAATCGAATAAGGTGTCGATTTAAAAAGCCGCTAACAAACACGTCATAGTAAAAAACGTGGCAAGATACCAAGATTGTGCATTGATCCATGATCGTAGACTACTCAATTTCCCTACACACCTTTTATCAGTAGTTGCCACTAAAGTTCCAATAACTCCCTTATTTATGGAAAAGACCTCCTCCCTTTATGACAACATTCACATCATACACTGTCGGGTCTCGCCTATAAATTAATCTAATTATTTAATTTTCAAAATTGTGATGACTATAATTTATGATTTTTTAGGGGCAGTTTACAAAATACTTATCTGGTAAGTATTTATCGGTAAAATTTAATATTAATATTTGCTTATTGGTGGCATCGCATGTTACAATTTATCCGGTAAGCGTTTACCATGATAAGAGTCGTCGCTCTCACTTACTGGGTAAAACTCTTGGTCATTGTCTCGTTCTTACCGAGTAAGATTCTTGGTCCTCACCATATTCATCCAGTGAGATAATGTGACTTGGTAAGCGTTTACCCGAGTAAGCATTTGTTAAATGGCCCCTTACTTCCATATTTTTAAAATTTTATAGGTTTATTCTCTTAAAATACGTTTACAGATTGATTATTTTTAGAACGAAAAGAACGGACAACCACGTACAAATGAACGGTTGTGTCAAAGAACCACAAGGGTGATACCTGATTGGTTTGAGTTTGACTCTATCTGGAGGTCTCATGTTCAAATACAAGGAGGAATAAAATCCCTTTTGTGGCCAACAAAGGTTCAAATGCGGTGACTCCAGACTATCTACAAAACAGGTGGTCACTCCGTGATTAGTCGGCTCGCATAGCTGGTTGGATATTTAAAAAGAACGTTGTGCCCAATAATGACAATGATGTTTCAAATGACAATAAGATTCTAACTAGAATAAGCCTTTTTATTATGAACACCTATGTTATTTTAGAAATTTCGGACATTTGGGTTAGTTTAAGCCAATAGCTATGTTAAATTCTTCTCTAAAATAAAAATTTTAATGGAAAGGAATGGAGAAATCTCTAAATTTGAAAAGGAGCAAAAAATATAACATAACTGTTGGAAATGGTCATAACGAGATATATAATCGTGTTACCTACAAGATATTTCATGATTGGTTAACCATACCAAGAATTAAATGTGTACCATAGTTAGAGATTTAGGGTAAAAAGTGAACCATGGTTAGGTTATTTTAATAGGAATTTGAGTTAGGGTTTAAGATGGGCGAAGACTGGCAGAGTAGGTTTAAAGACACGCGAAATTGTGGATGAATAATTTGGGGATTTTTTGAGATTTGGCTGAGAAAAGAGGGACCAAAACTCAAAATATTTAATTCGATAGAGGACGATCGTCGATGATGCCCTGCCCATAATTCAAATTAAACGAGCTTCCGCCATTGGTATGTTGTTCGAACTCTTTTACAAATTGCATTTCGATTATTTGATAGTCGGGTTTCAATCACGAGTTTATAGGGTTTTTTTTACACTTTCTCTGATTCATATAAGGTTCTGATTGGTGTATTTCGAGTTCATGTTGATGTAAAAATTCTACATAGATCAACAACTTACCTTTATTTTATCTGGATTTGATGTGATCTGAATATCATCATTTGGTGTATATCGGCTTTTCTGTTAGTTTGCTCTTAATGATACCTGTTACTCCATCATTTTGATAACTAGAAAAAGGCGAGGGATTTAAAGATGTATTTGTGTGCATGGATTCAAGATTTGAGTTGGTTTCGGAGCTCATTAAGCTTAAATTGTGAACTGGTAGTGTTTTTCTCGTTTCAAATTCCTAGCCATACAGTTGCAGGTGTTTGATAGTTACCTATCTGATACGGATTGAGGGAGGTTCAGGGAAAACCTCGTTAAAATTGGAAAACACTCTGTAACCATCCATATAGACTGTATGCACATATGGATACAAGTATTGAAGTTGTTTCTTGGTTTTTATGCATATGTTATAAACATGTGCATATGGGACAAATTGCTTATAAATTACTTGTATACACATGTGCATAACAAGGTGTTCCTCAGTTTTTTTTTTTGTGGTTTTCTATGTGCTATTATATGATATGCTAAGCTAAACTTGGAACTTGGTTTTTCTAGGATTTCACATCTGTTATACTTGGGAGGTCAGTTACTAGAATGTGGTTCAGAGATGGCTTTTGATGTTAATGACTTGTTAGTCTTTGACAAGATGCAGTGGTGTAGCTGCCCTCTTCGAACTCCCATGTTGAGTGCTTCAGTATTAGCCTGGAGGTATCCCGTATCCCGGAATATTTGGCCAGGGATACAAGGGGACGGATTTGGCCTTTTTCTTAAAAACATGTGAGGTTAAAGTTCAGAAATTATAATTTAGAAATTAGGGCTGAAAGTAAAAGTAAAACTTACGTATATATGAGAGAGAAAGGAGGATACTTACATACACGTGTGTAGGCTTACATCTACGTATATACCTATATGTGTGTGTGTTTACATATATGTATGCGCGCGTGTGTGAGTATATGTGTGTATGTATAGCTTTGCTGTTTATGATCTGATGCTAGTACTGAGCATGCTCGGAAGATGAAAGCAGATTGGAATTAATATGACTGATGAAAGAATCATGGATTAATTTCTCTAAATAGATTATGATCATTAATGATGGATAACAAATTTGGCGGATCTTTATTAAAAAAGAGAGAGACTTGATGATTGTAGCATCTTAATAAGTGGGGGTGACAAACCATGGTTCATTGCCAATGTTTTTCGTCTACATGATCTGTTAATCCTTGATATGTAAGTTAATGTGCACAAAGAAGTACACAAAATGAATATTAAGCTGATAACAAAGTGAGATCCTTGATTGATTCTCATCGGTATTTATTACTTGCATGACAGCTGTTATACAAATTGTGTCATTAGTTGTAAACTGATAAGGATCCTAAGATGGGGGGACAATAACTTATGTTAGAATGTACGAGAAAGTCATTATAGGGATAATTATTGTTTAATCAGTCGTTAACATTTAGAATAAGTATCTATATTTCTTGTTGGATTCTCTGTAATCCCCGAAAATAATTGTTAGATACGAATACACCTGCCTTATGCCAATCTATTTTCAAAGTCCAACAAGTAAATTTTGTAATAAAGCTCGTTATGTTTATCAAAATTGTTTTAATTTTATGTCATATTCTCAGCCGCGTACTTGTTTCTTGTCATTGATGTTACGAGTCACTTGGGAGTCCTATATGGATAAAGAGTCTGTGTGCATTAGTCTGTCTTTATAGATTGAGAAAGTTTTTGTTTGTGAGGGTTTTTTCATAGATGGAATAAACATGTTTTTTATTGGAGGGGGAGGTATGGAAAAAACTTGGCTTTCTGCATAAAGCTCCCCCCTAAAAGCTTAATGAATAAGCCACTTTCTATATTATTAAGCACTACCAAACAGTCATATATACCTGACCGGATAAGTTGTAAGTCCCATTAAGCTCATTAAGCTGCTAACAAACAAGCTTTTGCTCTAGTTGTTCCTCTAACTCTAGCTTTTGAATCCTGTAAATCTTTGTTCCCAATTAACCTTTAAACTATATATTCTTGAATTAAGGTTGAACTATATTGCTTTTGCGATCAGAAGTGGGAGCTTGACGAAGTGCTACCTCGAGCCAGAATATTGCCAAATTTTCGTGCTGACCTAAAGTTTTTAATGTAAGTAACGTTTCGAAGGAAGTGGTGAAGTAGATTAAACAGATTAAGTGAACGATGGATTGCAATAGGGATGAAGCTACGAGGGCGAAAGAAATTGCCGAAACTAAGTTTTCTGCAAAAGACATAATGGGGGCAAAGAAATTTGCATTGAAGGCCCAAAGTTTGTATCCTGACCTTGATGGTATTTCCCAGTTGTTGGCAGTTCTAGATGTGTATGTTGCTGTAGAAAACAAAATAAACGGAGAATTGGACTATTACGGGATACTTGGTGTGAGCCCGTTAGCCGATGATGATACCGTTAGGAAACATTACCGAAAACTAGCTTTATCTCTTCATCCCGACAAAAACAAGTCTATGGGGGCGGATGGGGCATTTAAGTATGTTTCTGAAGCTTGGAATTTGCTATCTGATAAAGACAAAAGAACAACCTATGACCATAAGAGGAACGTTAGAGTTTTTAAGCAGAGGGTTCAGACTCAAAATGGTGGTTCTGGAGTACCAACGTCATCCCGGAAGACCAGTTTTTACAGTTTCGTAAAGAGTACGATTAATCGAGCAAAGGGTACAACTACTCAAACAAAGGGTACAACTAATTCTCCGAGGGATAATACTAATGCCACGAAGAAGAAAGGTCCTATGGCTGTTCCTTCATCGTCTAATAAACAGACGGGTCCTACTGTTGTTCCTTCACCGTCCGATAAAACGATAACACCGAAAACGTTTTGGACTGTTTGCAAGAGATGCAAATTGCAGTACGAATTCATGAGAATGTATTTGAACCGAAATCTTCTATGTCCCACTTGCCATGGACCTTTTCTGGCAATCGAGACTCCACCGCCAAATACCAACGGTCCTTCAGAAGTTCCGGAAAAGGTTCAAGGAGCCAGAGAAAACGGGTCAAGCACTACGTGTAATGATACGAGCTCCAAGTGGGGTCCATTCTCAAAAACGGCTAGTCCTGCAGCTGTTTCTCAAGCAACAAGCATGGTTCAACAGGCGTACGAGAAAGTAAAACGGGATCGAGAAGAAGTTCAGGCGGCCACTAAAAGAAATGAAGCTTTACGAAGGAAGATCTCGAAAAAAACAGGTAACGCGTCGTCCAAGCACTTGAATTCCGTGAAAACAAAGCAGGATGTTGATGGGTTTGGGGCAAATAAGGAAACTCGACTTTCGGGTTCTTCGATTTCATCTCCACAAGTTGATATAAAGAAAGATATCTCCAATGCCGGTATCAAGAATCAACTCATTAAGAAGGCAACTATGGAAATTAGAAAGAAACTACACGAATGGAGCTCAGAAACTGTCATAGATTCTACGGTTAAAGGGGTTACAGAAAAAGGAAACGGAAATGGAAAAGTCGATGGTTTGGTAAATGGAGACTCGAATGATCATCGGATCGAACCGGTCGTGACCGATGTGCCCGATCCGGATTTTCATGATTTTGATCACGACAGAAGCGAAAAGTGCTTCGAAGAAGGCCAGGTATGGGCTGCTTACGATGATCATGACGGAATGCCACGATACTACGCTATGATTCTAAAAGTAATCTCTATAGACCCTTTTAAAATGAAGGTATGCTGGCTTAATTCAACACCCAACCACCACCCAAATCTGTCATCCGGGTTCTTGAAAGCATTTGGTGAATTCAAAGCAGGAAAACACGAAATCGTTTCGGTCCCTAATTACTTTTCACACCAAGCGAGTTTTACGAAACTAGCAAACGGGAACATACGTGTTTTTCCTAGGAAACAAGACGTCTGTGCTGTATACAGGAATGATCAAAAACACAAGTACGAAATCGTGGAAGTAGATGAGTACGATGAAGAAACCGGCATCACCATCACTCCGCTCATCAAAGTAGCCGATTTTAAGACGGTATTTCACAGGCATATAAACCCCAAGGAAACAAGGGTAGTTTTGGAAAATGAAATCATCCGGTTTTCGCATAAAATACCTTCGTATTTGCTCACGGGTCAAGAATCTCCAAATGCTCCAAAGGGTTGTTGTGAGCTTGATCCTGCAGCCATTCCTTCTGAGTTTCTTCAAGTCACAGAAAATGTGAATGAAGAAGGCGATGAAATGTTGAAGAAAGATTGCGGTTCCAAGTAGTGATGGTGTTTTCTCCCATTTGGGGTGCAAATTTCCTGAACTTGGAGTTTGTGGTTTGCTTTTTTGGATGGTTTGATGGATGGAAAATTAGGTACGGACTTAGTGTTGAAATTTGTCCAACAAATGCTGCTCTCCGTTTGTTAGTTGCTGCGATATTTTGACTTCATTTCAAACTGTTGTACTTGTAGAACCTTTACTGTAAAATGCGGAGGGATTTTTGGTACTAATATAAATATAGCCTCTTTTTGAAGTATACACTATTTATATTTTATATAGTCTGAGTGAGCTTATGTATGCACCCATCTGTTTTATTTTTGTGAGGTTTGAACCTTTGATCTTTAAGGAGTCTAAAACTGGATTTTATCGGTAAACCCAGATTATATTGTTGTTTGGTCCATCGTCTTGTACCACCTATAATACAAATTAGGCAAATTGTATGAAATAGTTATGTACGTTAAGTTGATTTCTATTTTGGGTTTTGTATTTCAAAACTTTCATTTTGGTACCTAACTTGTAAAGTTTTAAACATTTAAATAGCCGGGTAACCGTTGAAGACTAACTTTAGATTAAAAAATAGAGACTAATTTTAGATTAAAAATAAATCCGTGTTACTAACCATGTCAGCAAATAATACTGAGTTGGATACAATCCACATTACTCGCCACATCAGCATGATAACCGGTTAATGTTTCAACCGGTTATTGGGATACTTAAATGTTTAAAACTTTACATCTTAGGTACCAAAATGAAAGTTCTGAAAGTACGTTACTCAAAATATGAATCAAGTTAAAGTACATTACTTTTTCATGCAATTTACTCATACAAATTGTAAGATTACGTCTTCGTCAATCAGTAAGAGCATCTTGAACGAATTTGCTATAATTTTTTCTAAAATCAAGTATCGAAAGTCAAAATCTCTAATGAAAAAATAACGTTCGACCTAACTTTTGCTTTATTTTAGCATTTCATGCATTAACTATCTAACTTATTAAAATATTCTATACATTCAATGTATATTTATTATCGATACATTTTATTGGTGAGAAAGAATCAAATTACTATTTCTCTCTTCTATATATTGAATTTTAGAGAGTTCTATAAATATAGAGATTTTTATATATGGTATTGGCAAGAGTTAATGGCTATTATCAAACATTTACTCGGTAAAATTCAACATCATCACTTAGTTATCAGGTAAGATTTTAGCTCTTACTTACCGGATAAAACTCTTGGTCCATGTCTGATGTCTCGTTCTTATCGGGTAAAAAATTTGGTCCTTACTATATTCATCCAATAAAGTCATATGACTTGATAAACATCTATCTGGATAAGGGTTTGGTAAACAATATCTGGATAAAGGTTTGGTAAACGACTCCTAAGTGACACTCAGTAAACGCTTACATGTTTGGTAAACAACCTTTAGGGGCTGTTTGTTTGGCTCTTAATGGACTGTTTGGCAAAAAAAGAATGAGGCTCTTAATGGTTACAAAAACCTCTTAATGATTTAGTGTCCAGGTCTCCACTAAATGATTCAGATATCTCTTGTTCCAAGTTTACCCTTCCACCCCTTCTTCCCAACCCCTCTCTTCACGCATGTCGCTTCATACTCAACGGTTCTTTTTCATTTTTATCACATTTGATTCATTCAATATTGAGATAATCGAAGGATATGGATTTGGGCTGCTTGGATTTGGGTTGTATTGAAAAGCAAATCAGTCAAAGCTCTGGTGATTCAGATATAAACCCTAATGATTCTGTGCCTTCAACTTCGAAGCCTCCAAAGGTATACATCTTTCTAAAATTATGTGGTTTTTGATTATCTCCGTTGATTTGCCTTTTGATTTTGAGGTTTTGCTCACCTTTCAAGATCGAATGCTAGATTTATCTATCGTAGGTTTTCAAATCTATCACTTTTGGTTTAGGTATTTTAATTTCTAGTTGTTGCCTAGTGTTTTAGTAACTTGTGTTTTGTCTGGTGGATTCTTTTAGTGCTGGTTTCAGTCTGTAGTTTGCTTGATTTGCCCTAATTTTACTGTTTTGCCCTAATCATCTGATCAAGAACCACAGCAAGAAAATGAGGATTCTAGTAATGGATCAAATTACGTGATTTTTGCCGGTGGCGGTGGTGAAGGTCGAAGTGGCATCCCTAATGTGAATGAGGGTTAAAATGGTAATTTACTGTCATTCAGAGAACAGTTACCAAACAACATTATTTCATTCAGCACTTAACTATTCAGACCCTTTTAACCATTCTGACCACTTAACCATTTTGTACCAAATCATTCAGCAACCGTCAAACAATCGGTTTTAAAAAGGGAAAGTTTATTTGAAAGGGAAAAACAATAGCGTACAAGTCAACTTCTCCACGTCATAAGACATTAAACCAGTGGACTTCTTTTATGACTTCATACGTCATGTACTCCACTTGCATTCGGACACGTCATCAGATGACGTGCTTCTGACCAATCAAAAGTATTTCATTGTTTGCACCCGTCAACCTTCAAATACAATGTCCTGAAAGTTTCTATAAATACGTGATCAACCCTCCCTCACCTCTGTAATCCTCTATCAATCATTAAATTCGGAATAGGAATTTCGCTTTGCCGTACTCTCGCCGGAAATCGAGAAGAATAGCGTTCTACGTACTACCTCAGGCGGTTCTCAAATCATGGTAATGTTGTTCTAGATTTCAATTCTTCATCATGATTCATCGTGCCTCTACCTATTGAGTATTTTTCTATTTGATAATCGGTTTGTTTTAAGGGAATATGGCGTCGAAATGTGGATTATCAATTAGGAATGATAATGATTTTTGTTCTGTGACCATCGGAACGGGTGATTTTTGTATTGCCTGTTTGATAATCGTTTTGTTTTTAACGGATTTTGACGTTGAAATTTCTATGATAAACTTAGAAAATGGATCTCGCGTATGAAAGTTTAAATCATTGGTTTTTAGATTTTTGCTTTTTTCCTGCTCGAAAATCGTACATGAAGCTATCAGATCAGGAATCAATAAATTAAAGAAGCTGATTGTGAAGAATTAGGGCTACCGCACCTTGACAATTGAATACATCCTAATCTAACTCGTTCACATTTGATCCTTTTTTTGAATTATCATATTCTATATGATTTTTCTCTACTAAAAGCTACGATTTAACCTAAGGCGTAAGGTTTTCAATTAAAATCCTATCGGAAAAGTTCTGAACTAATCCAGTAAAAAGACGATTGATGATTATTGAAAGTTGATGTTGTAATTGAATCTGAATTAGCCTGCCCTCAATGAATTGAAAAGCTATGTTCGCTTGACTTTTGTGATCTGCAGTTATATGGCAAGATCAGTTGATCAATTTACCATACTTAAGTTTTCTGTATTTGTATTATCTGTATCTAGACGACATCAAGGCGTCTTGCAGACAGGAAGGTGGAGAAGTTCGATAAGAACATCGTTAGGCGTGGATCGGTCCCTGAAACCTCTGCCAAAAAGGGCAAGAGCTACCCTGTTGGCCCTGTTATGCTTGGGTTTTTCGTGTTTGTTGTCATCGGATCATGTAAGATAGTTACTCCTTCCACTACATGGTTTTATATTAGTCTGTAAAGGGAAAAAAATGTCTCACAGTGATTCTATATCTTCACGAAATAAGCAATAAACTATAAGTCTAAGGATACAAGACACATTTCCTTTCGGGTTGTGACAAATTCCAAACGCTGCTTTGGGTATATATATTCCTTTGTTTAAAACATTTCCCATTTTCAAAGCTTCGGCTTTTTCCCTTTTTGCCTTTTCTGGAAAAATGACGGTGATTATGAAAAAAAAAAATCAAGAATCTTTAAATTCTTAATTTTGTATATTGGTTTTTTGGTTCATGCATGGAAATGAAAATAACAAAGAATGAAAATGAGAATGAATTTGCATTCCTCTAGTTTTATCTGAAATGAAATGAAAATTTCGATTCGTGAAGGTGGACTTATTATATTATATAAAACACAAACATTTTTTTTATATTCATTCCAATATCTTTAACCAAACACGATTACCATGGGGGATAAGCAATTGTAGCTGTTGCACTTAAGAATAAAGTTTACTTGGACAGATATGGTTCTGATTTTGTTAATATCTTTTGCTTGTCTTCAGCTCTGTTTCAGATAATCAGGACAGCTACAAGTGGGGGCATGGCTTGACTGCTGCAGCTGTTTTAACATCGTCTTATTCAATGGGCCTAGCACTATAGAACCTGATGGTACCATTTACCAAATCAGCAGCAGCATTGTGGCCAAATGAGTGTAATATCTCTTGTTTTTGGATTTCTACAAATAATGGCTAAAACTACGATATATAACCTACTCGTTATTGATTAACTGGGTTTTCTTTTTCCTTAAAGCAATTTCGTCTTCATCATCTAAACTTCGTTGTTACGGGTGTTTGGTGAATTTTTTCTCAAGATAATAGTGAAGCAATTCAAACGTTTATAGTAAAATTATCAACATTGTAAAGTGATGATGGTCCGTTGAATTATTCAGTTTGCAAATTGCAATGATTTCTATATGCGTAAAAAACTATGTTCATATAGTAACACAAATTTATTTATACTCATATGTATGGCGTGTGAGATTGATTTTTAGCAATGAATGTACGTGTTCATATGTACCATATACAATCTGCCATAATGCCTCACGGTCACGTGGGAGCACCAACTGTTCACTATGATTGTTAATTTGGGTCAAAAATTGATTACCGTCAACCCCAACCAACCTTACACGGAACCCGTCTTGAAGAATGTAAGGGCATTTTTTGGCTCACTTAGCGGTTGAGGCTAGCGAAGGGCCCAGGTTCGAACCTAATATTTGTCTTGTATCAAAAATGTGATCTATGAGCTCCTTGTAAGCCTCAAGTTGTGGGTTATCAATAACTTTCACCATGATTTTAAGTTAGATTCAAAGTTATTGAGTCGGTTTGTTGCTTTGAGCTTTGGGATGTTACAAAAGGTATCAGAGTCAATCCTGATCTTATTGGGATGATGGCACAAACCTCATCGGATATGATGAATCCTAAGGGGTGTTTGTAACATCTTAGGCGAATCATATATTGCCAATTATAAGGAGGAAGATTCTAAGCAAGTAAGTCTCAAACTGTGGACTCCTGATGAGTTCCACCATTCATATACACACATTTACTTTATTCTTTCACCGTAGGAGAAAACGAAACACACCAAACCAAACATTCTCTATTTCTACTACACGAAAGACCATTTTAAACCCAATAAAAAAAAGGCAACCTACATTTAATCTTCATATCTTATCTTTTAAACAAGTAGTAGACGTGTTCTTTAGATTCTTTGATATATTCAATCAATTGATTCTATATAACAAGCTACATAATGAATTGGAACAGTTTTTTTTTATATAACAAGCCACATATTGAATTGGAATAGTTTTATTTCAAACATGCAGGCAAAGGCGCACAACCTACCATTAGGTGTGTGCAGAAATCAAATGGTCTGAATTTCAAACTCAAACCAAAAATAAAGTGTTGGTGCAGAAGCCGTATTGCCCAAAATCCAAAACCCGACTTTTGGGGATATTCTGATTCAGGTTGGATTTGATTTTTGGCCACCAACCCAAATATATATATCCATATATATTTTAAATATTATATACATATAGTTAGTTAATTATCTTTTGAAAATTCTAAATCCTAGTCTGTAATCCTTTTTTTTTATTTCTAAACCTACTATAAATTCATTAATCCTCTTAATCAACTAAATTCATCGTCAAAGTCGATTGAATATATATGTTTTTTGCATTATAACTATACCTGAAACCTGATCAACCCGTAGCAATCCGAAACTCAAAATTCAGGGTTTGGTTTTCATATCCGAAATCTGATCGGATTTGAACCTGGCGATGCTTGGTTTCCAACCGAACCCACCCGATGCACACCCCTACCCACAATACGTGTTCTCTATATGAACGAACCCGATCTAAGCTTCCTAGTGATTGGTTTTGAACCGCAAAATACTTACCAAACCAATTATTCCGAACAAAATAAAAACATTGAAGTTTGCAATAATAAAGATTTTGGACAAATCATAGAATTAAATGCAATACATATATACAGAGGGGGAGAGAAGAGGGAGATTCGGGGAAAACCTTAAAAATGAAAAATGGAGAAACACCCAAGTAACCGTTCATCTGGCCGGTATGTACATATGCATACAAACTTGTAAGGAATTTGTCCGGTTCATGCATACAAACCAAGAAACAACTTCAATTACCTATATGTGCATATATATATATATATATATATATATATATATATATATACACACAAATAAATGATTACGTTTTTATTTTTTTTGAGATTTTCCCTTGTAAAATCATCTAACTTGATAATCAACCTGTCAGAATTGCTTGTTATTTCAAAATCAAGTTTCTTTTTTGCAATTTTTTCCCAAGCATCATGGTTTATTTATGACAAAAGGCACGAATGATTCAAAAAGTCAGCTCAATACGAAAAAGACAGACTCTAAACAAAATGCTGAAACTATATCAAGCCACAGCAGGCAGACACGGGTGAAACGCAACCCCAGCCGCGATCCACCGCCGCTTGCCGCCTTGCGGGATCACACAACCAGGGACCTTCACCCACTCCTTTTTCGAGATATCGTAGGTAACCAATTGACTCGTTACTTTGGATCGAAGAGATAACATGAGCAATCCTCTGTTACCCAAACAAGACATCCTAATGTGCTTTCCATAAAACTCTAAGCACCATATATTTGGCATTCTGTCAACCTCCTTCCACAAGAGAGTCATCTTCTGAAGCTCCCATATGCATACGCAAGTAGCTGCGTTTTTCGTCAGCAACCCCACCAGCATGATCCTCCCGCCACACTCCGCCAGACTCTGGTCGCTCAGGTGGACAGGGGCCGGGACTGTAAATTGCTTCCAAACTCCAGTTTCCATGTCATAAGACACAATCCCATCTGGATCTGACCTCAGGAAATACATCGAACCGTCTACACACACTGCCTGTGACCTGAAGTTTAACGACAATGGTAGCTTGATACAAGATGGCATACTTCCAGGGCATGTCCAGGTGTTCTTTGTGGAGTCGTAAACTTCATACTCACCATCGGAACCAACCCACATGATTTGGTAACCACCGTTAGCTGATTTCTGGTTCAGGGTCATCCCTACGGCTACTCTTGACCAGACCCTAGCCGGTCTACCTGGTAACTCTTTGAAAGAACTAGCAAGAGGATTACATACGTATAAGCTCCTACGGTCAATGTCAAGTAAACAGACTAGACCACCGGCTGCAGCCACAGGCAGGATGATAGATTTTGTGGGTATGGCGGGTAGAGTAGGGTGGTGCCATTTTCTTGAGCCAGGGTCATACATGGCTCCTATGTTGGTATAGAACCAAGGTTGTGTTTGTGGGAGTTGAGCACATTGAAGGAAGAAACTACTAGAAATCAACAAGGAATTCCATTTTTGGCAAACTGACCGAAACCGGAAGAACGTGGAAATTGGAAGTCGTGCGATGACAGCCTCGTATAGGTCTTCCGGGAACTCTCTCCAGATTGCTTCCATATCCGTGTTTGAACTTGAGCCATCGTCTAACTTCCCCGGAAGTTGCTCCTTTCGAGCTCGTTTTGACAACAGAGACTTTCCAGGTTCCGATATCTTGAACTCCCCACCTTTCATTATAAGACTGTAACAATCATCTTCTGTAGGGTCGTCTTCAAGGTTCGAAAAACAGCATCTGCAAAGAAAATCAACTGATGATGAAAAAGAAAGATATTCCCTTATCGAGTAGCTCCACACGGAGGAAAGCATGATTTATGTGGTTCACCCAATACGGTTATGCCTACTGGGAGCAACAAATGTGTTGTGACTAAATGGAGAATTATAATACAGAAGAAAAGTAAATGTTCCTAACTCTGTAGCAGCATAAGAATTTGTGAACTCAAATATAGATCTAATCGTATTGACTAACTTAAGGGTGCGTTAGATATATGGGACACCAGTACAAAAACTTGTGCCAATAGGACAGGACTTGAGTGTGCAAGACAAAAATACATTTTTTATGCCCCGTCGCCGCCAAAATAGGTGAAACAAAAATCAGGAAGATGAGACAGGACTTATAAAGTACTAACTAGCCATGTCAGATTAAAAACCCTACAACTTTCCACAATTCTTTCACCTGCCTAGCTCACTTTCATTCGTTCAGTCCTATCCAATCTTTTTCGCATACCAAACGCACCATAAATAAATAATCAATCACATAAAGCAGAGACCCTTGTTTTGACAAGAGTTTCACTTCCAAACCATGGGAAAACTCTGATGTAGGGAGTGCTCCAAAAATGAAACAGTGAATTCCCATTTGAACTGATGCAGGGAATCTGAACAAAGATGCTATAGAGATTTACAGAATAAGATGGCAATGAGAAGTGATATCACAAGGAAAACAAATGGTAAACAAAATGAAGAACGAAGGATCACACTTTGGTTGAAATATCATTTTCAAGCCTTAATCTTCTCAAGTACCTACTTTTGATTAACATGGTGCTGCTTAATTTTCTTTAGTCTTAGGAGCCATTTACCGAACACTTACCGGGTAAGCACATACCGGGAAGGCTCACCACTTTCACTTACCTTAAGAAGTAACATTCCAGACCATTAAAATGGATTGACGGTAAGCGTTTATAACCCGGTAAGGTAAGATTCTCGGTCCTTGTTATGTTCATCCGGTAAGGTAATTGAACCGGTAAGCGCTTACCAAGGTAAGTGTTTAGTGAAAGGCCCTTTAGTCTTCTTTTCAGTTTTTGTCTCTAACCTTAATCTTCTTTAGTTTTCCACTTCTCACATTGTTCTAACTTTTTGGACAAGCTATCATTTTTGCACACTTTTTGCAAACCGGTGGTCTTTATGGAAACAGCAGTTCTGCGTTCTGGGTAGAGGACAGGCCAGAGTACATCTCATCCCCCCACCCTAACGGGTTCGTTTTGTTTGGTTTTTATCTTCTCGAATATCAAATAATCTGGCTGTGGCAATAGAAAAGTAAACATTATAAAAGCTTTGCAAGATTACAATATGGATCAGTTGGGGCTGGGGAAAAAAAGTAGGACGTTTGGTGTGAGGTCGTCCCTATGTATTACATATCCTACTCGGAAGACCATGGTAATACAAGTAGGGAGTTACCTGCATCCAAACAACTCCAACAAGAAAAGATATAAATATAAAAAGTTCTGTACCATGTAGATCGAATTTATGGAGGAAATCCGGTTTTGAATTCCCAGAAACCGCACGATTATATAGCCAAAGGGAATACGCAGCGCCTAAAATCATCCCAAGGCTCCAAGGATTCTTTGAATATATATACATGCACATATTTTTGGTGCATACGTCTTAAAAGCTCGTAGGCCTTCTTAAGCATGTAGGAGCTTTTCAAAACTTGATGCAATGCCTTGTTTGAAAAAAGGGCGGGGGATCCACATGTCCAAACTAACAGCATTTGATAACAGGTAGAGGTAGAAAAATATAGCTCTAGGCCTCTCTTGACTAAAACAAACACGTGATTTCACAGGGAAGCATGGCATGGAAGCATAAGACATTGCTCACTTTGTCCCATATCGGGTGCAACGAGACTGCTATTTGTTGACCACTCATATGTAAAACCCACGTACTGTAAAAAACAGACAGATTCTTTGAGGGTGTACAATTCATCCATACCGTTACACTGTGTCCTCAGAACCTTTTTACGAAGGAAAGGGAGGAAAGTAAAAAAAGAACTTGTGTTCTCGAAATCTTTTAGGAGGGAAAGGAAAGGGAAGGAAAGAAATTCACAACTTTCCTCCCAAATTTGAGAAGAAAGAGAAGGAAGAAACACACGCCTAAAAAATTTATAGTAAAATTCCAAGATTAGCCATTAATAAAATACCCTCTATCCTTCACGTCCCATGCCTCTTCCCTACAGCAGCCCTTTTTTCCCTTCAAGGGTATATTTGTCAAAATGACAGCTTTCCTTTCCTTTCCCTCCCATTCGAAGAACATGAAAACTCATTTTCTTCCCTTCCCCTTCCTTTCCTTCCTTTTCGAGGACACAGATAAACACGTTCTTCCTTTCCTTCCCTTCCCTTCCTTTCCCTCCCTTTCCTTTCTGTTCTTTTCCTTCCAAATTCGAGAACACAGTGTTACAGTCTCTAGTTGTCATATATTGGCATAGAGCAAAAAAAGTATGATCTAGATCAAATTACTCTGAATACTTTTCATCTGCTTAAAAGCATCCAAAGGTCTAAATAAGAGATGATCAGGAAAAAAAGAGCACAAGTCAATCGACATTAAAATAATACAGGACAAGGATTCAGAAAGTACAAGGTAAAGGTGCTATTTCTTTCTTAAGTCAAAATGACAGCATTACACTTAAATAGAATTATAGAAGCATTTTATCCCAAACTAGTCAGGGCAGGCTAAAAAAGAAACTGAAGTAGGGGGGGGGGGGTTCTTTTGGGGGGAATGGAAATGGGAATGGTTATAATAAGGGATGATTATGTTGGGGAATGATTTACTAGGGTATGGATCATCACCCACTTTTTACGTAATAATTCATTGCATTATATTGAGCCAATCACCATATTCAATTCCATTCCCATTCCTTACCCCCAAATAACCCCAACCAAACACCTCCTAATATAAAAAGATTTCAAAACCTTGAGGTTTGACATCAATAGAACTTTCCAGATTCTCTAATCTAGTGACATCTCTTTAAATATCTTTTCATTCTACAAATACTCTTTCCCTATATTAATTTGGTTTTAACCTCCCTCTTGACACACCTATTAGACTTGTATTTATGTAACAGAAATGGCACGTATAACTTACCTGGGTGCTATACATCAAATAACTTACATATTAGAGGGCAAGTTACAGGTCGATCATGCAGAAATTAAAGTAAAAACAAAAAAAAAATAAAGATCATAAGCACCTAACTCCCATGTCTATTCATCAGATACGTTCTTTTCCTTTTTTTCCTGGCGACTGACTCTCTGTAACAACTCTCCTTTATTTTTCCCCTCTCTTCAAGAAGGTACTGAGGACTTACCATTTCCCAGCCTTTCTACAGCATTTAAGTTTTCTACCACTAAATTCTATTGCACAAAGCCTTTATTAAACAGAAGGTGGCATTATTTTTGTATTTAACTAGTATCTTGTATGATTTACCTCCCCATGATGGCTGTGGGACTGGTATGGTGGGGGAACTCCGCGCTTAGATCCAACTTTCAATTCACTCGTGAGATCCGGGCGGTACGATGGGACCCTTTTTATGTTCCTTCAATAAAAAGATTCATTCTCAAAAAAAATGTCTGCCACTCGTAAGACGTAACCCCCAAGGCACCATAGTGCTTCCCACTGGGAGTCTAGCCAGGCTAATATATGGTGATCCTGCTCTTCCTTGGATATAATGTTAGATTCTCATGGGACTCAAATAACAATGATTACTATTGTCAAGACCTTTAACAACTTAAAATCCTCATGACCAATTACTCGAGGAATGATAAAGGATAGCTCCAAACAGCTCTTCAGTTTGTAGATAAGAATTGCCAGTCATATAGCAATAGCATTGATAAAAAGCAGAATACAACACCTAGGAAATTTGCATGTATCGCTCTTCAGCCCATTGGTTGTTTAAAATGTTTATTAACATCCTGGCTGAATGAACATGCACACTGGCTTCTGCCAAGCTTAATATTATATATCACCAAACCAAACGAACCTAATATATCACACTTGAAGAGTAAGGTCTGGGAGGGGTAGGTTGTAAGCAGACCTAACCTCAACCACTAGGATCGAGTGACTGTTTCAGTCAAAATCCCTGACTTGTATATATACGTGTATATATTTCCACACTCAAACATACACTCCCTCCCCAATCCATGCCCCCTCTTTCTGTCCTTTCCAACAATAAATTAACATGCGATAGGATTAACAGGCCCTCAAGCCATATTTGTTAATGTTGATGAAAAGGCAAAGCACTACTTACAGCAGGGGCGGACCCTGTGTATTGGATACAGTGGCACGGGCCACCGCTTCGTTCCTCCGTCGTAGTGTAAAAAATCATACAGTCGTGAAAAGTGCCACCGTATCAATTTGTTGTGTGCCACCGTATATATTTTGAAACTACAATGAGGATACAAGTTTCTCTTCATAGAGTTGGTTTGCAAGGACTTTTTCCACCCCAGAGCCGAGTTCGAAATGCGTTAGTGCCATTTTCTTAGTTTTTAGCTTTTAATTTCAAATTTATTATGTTTCTAAAAAGTTTGCAATAAAAGACTTGAACATAGGACCTCATATATGAAAAGCAATGAACAAACTAATGATGATTTTGTTAAAAATATCTCTATATTTGTTTCTTATAGTCAAATGGTGCAACCACTTGAAAAAAATTCTAGGTCCGTCTCTGAGTTACAGCTTCCTACTCTCACAGCTAAAAGGCTGCATGAAACCTAGTATAGCACCCGTGATTAACATGATTTTCATCCCCAATTAGATGCTTCCTTGCTTTTATCGAATCTTAACATCTCATATATATGTGTGGTAGTAAGAATGCGCTACACGGTAACACATTGTGAACCTATAGAGTATAGGCAATCTTGTATACAAACGAATCAAGTTGGCACAACAGCAAAACATAATCAGCATCCACATGGAAATCATAAAATTTGCCATGTCTTCTATAGTTAGGTCACATGGGATATTGAGAATCACTTAACCCTCTAGGGGGAAAAGCCAGGGACAAAGATTCAGCACAAAGAGACAAAGGATCTGGCTCTTGACCATCTAACATGAAAGTTCCATCGTCCTTCCATGCATATTGGTGCATTGCTATCATTTCTATATCACATACAAATATAGATACAAGTACAGTATAACTTCACTGACCATTACAAGAAACTACAACCAAAAATCCATCAAAACGAGTAAAATCAAGTAAAACTACAACTTCCATTAAATAAACAGATTCTTACTCGGAACAATCAATAAAACTAACAATAGTAAATAATGCAAATTGCTATCAATGCACTAATACCGACAGATTGGATATCATTCAGCGCAAAATCAGCAACAGTTGTCGACGTGACGACATGTACATAACAACAAAACTAGGTTATAGAAAGTTCCGATTGTTAATCTGATCGATTATCGGTTAGCCACAACTATGCTTCAATATAACGATATTTTCCACTAAACAAAGTATTGCAATACAATTTACAGGGAATGACAGCATCATAAACAGTGAACATTTCAAGAAACAAAAGCAAAATAACCGATCTGAATAATTCGGTAAAGAAGAAGAACCTGTCATCGGGAAATTGCTGCGAATGTGTAATTAGCGTCGGAGGTTGAAGATAAATAAAATCCGGCGGCCGAACAGTATGAATCGGAGGCGGAGGAGAACCGTAAAGGTCTAAGAGCTCTTGAACTTGACCTATGAGCTGCTTCCACATGGCCAGCCCTTCTACAGATCACCGCCTCCTTCTTCCCCCCTCCGCCGTCATCGTAATACACCCACCCCCACCCCTCTTTCCGCTCTCTCCCTCTATAGTTATAGCATCTCCATTTTTAAATTTCAGGGAATCTCAAAAAAAAAATTATATTAATCTATTATCGACTCAAAATCTTTATTTTATTTATTTTCTTAAATTTAGAGAATATTTCAAATATGTTTCTCTAAAATTTCTTCAAAATTGCCGACCAAAAAGTTAAATCTATAAAAAAAAGTTACATTCATCTCCAATAAATTTTTCATTTTGAAGAATTCAACATTAATTTTTTATGTGTAAAATACTGTTTATTAATGCATATTACTTAAAACTCAATATTGCAAGTAGATTGTGCGTAAGTACAACTTATTAAAGCTCCATATCTGAAGTCGTGTAACCAACTGCAGATAAACATAATCAAATATAAGATAAACATCTCATTTTAAATATACTAGAAGCGTACTCGCGCAATGCAGCGAGATACATCGTGATTTTAATATTTCATTTTATTCTTTATCTCAGTCGATGTTATAATATGACTTTATATGATTTTGAGAAATCGATGATGTTTTTATTTTTGAATAAAATATATGTTTGAAGATATCATAAAAATTTGACAAAAATATATCGATATTA